GTAACTTTAATGTGGTGTTTTTTTAGTGATCTGGTGATCTTGTGATCTCAGGTGACCGCTATCCTTGTGTGGAATACAATGCTATTTATACTGATAGCCACAGATACAAAAATACCCCTAAAATTGTAATAGACCTTAGTTTACCCTTAAGTATCTACAGTGCTACAACTAAAAGTTACAGATTCAGCCAGGTCTCTAAAGATTTGGACACAGTCTATGATTTCTCATTGCTGGGTTGGAGTCCCATTTCATTTTCATCCATGCCATTTTCCTGTGATCGGACATTAGCCAAGAGTAGGCAATTCAAATAAACCGACAAAACTTTGGCTATGTATGAGGGAGCTACTAGCTGCTGCCTCTGCACACACTGTCACTGGAGGTCAGTAAAAGACTTCTTTCTTTAAATGATTTCAGTTTAATGTTCACTGCGTCAGAAACTGCTGGTTGGTTTGAGAGGTCTTCTTGTCTCTGGTTCAGTGTTCCAAGGTTCATATAGGCTGACAGCCGCCCACCTAAAGCCGGGGTCTGCTCAAGGTTTCTGTCTCTTAAAAGTTTTTTCTTGCCACTGTTGCCAAGTGCTTGCTTATTGTGGCAATTGTTGGGTCTCTGTAAATCATTTTGTAAGTAGTATAGTCTAGACCTGTGCTATTTGAAAGGTGTCCTGAGATAACTTCTATTATGTTTTGGAGCTATACAAATACAATTGGATTGAATTGAATATAATTAGATCACATCTGTGATCCTCCATGACATTACATAGAAACACTTATATAGCACTTCCCTCATGTGTTGAAGTCAGATGAAATAAAAAATACCTTCTAACCCTTTAGGATTGCACCCCTAGTCATATAGTACCCAGTTTAACAAAGGTATGCCAAAAACGCTGTATTTTATATTATAATCTATAATCTAAACTTTTGAATTACTTCAACACCAAATATGCAAATACAGACAAGAGAAAATAAGTGTCAGAAGCATTGATGCATGGTAATCTGCAAGATGTAAGATTTTCAGCATCAACAATGCTCAGTGTATTTTCAAAGCAATCGTGCTAAATAATCCCCATTTTTACTAAATGTAACTGTGACCAGTCAGTCAGTCTTTTTTCTGTAACTGTAATGGATTACAGTCCTTTTTTTGTATTCTAATTACGTAACTTAATTCAATTTTCAGTTTAGTTACATGTAATCCATTACTTTCCATTTTAGGGATACAGAATAAGATTCATTAGTTAGCTAGCTAACAACAGCATGGTTCTCTGAGGGTATCTGGGGTTATTGCTTGTACAAAAACACAACTTTATTGATGAAACTGGTTCATATTTTATGGAGAAAATATTTTTCTGGTTTTGCTGTTGTAGCTGCAGTTAGCAACCGAACAGGGCTCAGCAGCCTCCCAGTGTACACAACCTCCAAGACAGACGGAGGACATTCTGACGACAGCGGCACGAAGGCGGTTGTTGTGATGACCTGATGGACTTGCTAAAATTCTAACTAAATGCCACCAAGGTTAATGTTAGATGCTGTTAGTTAGTTAGCTAGTGCAGCTAACATTAGTTGACTTGTGGTGCCAGGAGCCAAACCGGCAAAAAAAACAACCTTGGTAGTACTCTTTTACCTGTCATCAAACTGGATACTGTATTCTGTCCCAGTCTGACCTCCCAGACCCAGTAGAGTCAGCCAATAGGACCGATATAGCCTCTTTACTGTCTATTGACTACCACGATAAAGTCCCACCATAGCTGCCTGTTTTCACAAGAAATACGTAAATATGCAGAAGCAAATAGCACTCGGATTTCAGTTTCATATGAACTTTAAAGATGAAACATTGGTTGTAGCTTCATATATTGTATATATTCTCATTTCTCTATGCATTATTTACAGTCGGAGCAGCTTCAGAGGTACCAGCGGACTCCCTCCACCACCTCTGAAGACTCCATAAGATTCCACAGCTCTGGGTCTTTGGATCTGGATTCAAAAGAAGCAGCAGAACAGCCAAAAGAGGTACAGAGAAAGTCCTCGCAAGAAAATTATTCAAAAAAGGAAAACAAATAAGTGTGTTTGTTGTTGTTTAGCAGGCTGCCTACTACAACTACAAGAACTCCCCTTTTGTTGGATGTTTCTAGGTGGAGCTCTCATCCTCTGCCCCGACCAAAGAACCTTTCCTCCGCATTGGATCCAAGAGGATGGGCAAAAACTTTAACCCCTTCTCCTCCTCGTCCTCCTCTAAGCCTCAAGGAGCAGAGAAGGAGTCCCAGCTACCCACCAGACTGCTTCAGCTGGCCAAATCCAAAGGGAAGAAAGACAAAAAGAAGAAGAAGGGGAAAGGGGGGGAGCAGACACAGAAAGGTACGATGAACAAAATTTATCCTGACATTAGCAGTTTACAGTGTATTCACCTGTAATCTATCTGTAGATTAGGGGAAGAATGTCTTTGCTTCTTAAAGTCTGTTTGACAATGTAGATGCCATTGAAAATACTACACAATGAAGAAATGGTAAATGGCCCTGCACTTGTATAGCGCCTTTCTAGCCTTCCGACCACTCAAAGTGCCTTTACACTACATGCCACATTCGCCCTTACACACTAAAGGTTAATTAGAGCTTATTTGCCTTACTGCTGATTCTCATGTCTGTACGGTAAGTATGAAGCTACACCCAGAAGATCCTTAGCCTATTCTAACATAAAGACTGGTAACAGGGAAACAGCTTGCCTTGCTCTGCCCAAAGGTAACAAAATCCTCCTACCAGCACCTCTAAAGCTCACTGACTAACAACTGTACAAAAAATTGTAATATGTGTAAAACCAATAATTCACAGTTTTTTTTATTTTTTATTTATTGACTATTAATATTTATAATAACTTGTGTCTTAATGTCTCTTTAGATAGTACAGTGATGTTGGATCATCAGAATGATGGAGACATCTTCTTCTGCTGAGGACCTGCACATGAAATTCTAACCAGACAACTGGACAGTGCAGCAAACAGGACCCAGATTGTTCATTAACTCTATATTTGGGAATAAAATGTATCTTTGCTGACAGTCTGGCTTCTGGACACTGTCTCTGCCTTCTTGTCAGATCATCAGAGAGAGAATCCAGCTGGGTTCACAGGCTGGTAGTCTAACTTTACCTGCTTGTGTCCCAGGTAAACAAAGGGAAAGACCTCTCAGAGACACCAGACGAAGTTATGTGGAGCGGATGATTCAGTCAGGAGGACTTTATTGACAAATGTGCTAAGAATGTTCTCTACAACCTTTCATCATTTAGAGATGTGATTGAAAGCCAAGGAGGATCAAACGAGCAGTGTGAGGAACACAAGAGGAAAACAGATTCTTGATTTCTTCCATCTCTCAATCAGAGATCATGTGTTAGACATGGTCTTTAAAGTCTTTAGATTGTAAACTGTAACAAACCTAAGCTTTTACATCGAACAATCGTGAGTGCCATTTTTGCAGATGCTAACTTTGAATGCTGTTAAATCCTCAGTTTGTTAATTGCCTTTTTTAATGGATAGTGACAGCTAATGGTAGACAGGAAAGGGGGGCAGAGAGAGAAGGTATGACATGCAGCAAGGGCCGCAGGTCGGATTCGAACCCTGGGCCGCTGCAGCAGCTTGGTACATGGTCGCCAGCTCTACCAGGTGAGCTAACTGGGCGCCAACTCAATGAACTTTTAATCTAATGTGTGATTTCTATGTCCCTACAATGGCTTTACATTTGTTTTTTATCAGTCAAGCTGACAAACAAGACATAAGAGAGTAACAGATGCCACATGACAGTGTTTGTAACAGTTACAAACCCTTTAGGCTACCATTTCTTACTGTCAACATTTTCTGCTGAGGTCAGTGTGCACAAAAAGGCTACAGACTTCCACACAAAATCCATCAATGACACATCAGCTAGCAGAGAGAAATGGTTGAATCTATAGAAACAGGCATGTCTCATGGTCAATGGTCAGGACACAAGACGATAGTGAGAATGCTCAGCAAAGACTCAGTGACGGATATGTCCCTGTCTCCAAGTGCATGTTCAAAGCAGATGTTTTCAATCCTAATGTTCCTAGAAATGTATAGTATTGTTTTTTTGTAGGTGGTTATCTCCATCAGTCATGAAATGTACCAGTCAGTATGGACAACAGAACTCAGTATGAGCTAAAATCTTTAATTATCATTTAATGTGACAATCAAGGCAGTGTAATTGTCACTGAAGCACAACAAGATCAGGAATACAAAAACTTCAACAACTTTAAAAATGCACTTTACATGAGAGAGTGATGTTGTATTTTACTGGTCTGTCATTTCCTAATAATTTAAACATTCATTTAATTAAATTAATAATACATTTTCAGTGACTTCGTACTAATTACAGGGAGAATCCTTGAAAGATAAGTAATTCTAATTAAATTAAAATTAATTGATTAATTAATTAATTAGTGTTCACTATAATTAGTATCAAATGACAGATCCTTGTAGGAAAACTAGTAAATGACAAGAAAATGATGTGGAAGTGACAGAACTGTAGAATAAAGCATTACCCATAACAGCAGCAGCAGTAGTTATGTTGTTGTGGGACTGGGTCAGAATTCAATATTATTGAATATAGACTTTACTGGATTTATATTGAGATGATATTAAGGTGTTATTGTTTTTACAAACTTCTGATCAGAATTAATGATTCCAAGCACATATAAATGAAACCTTCCATTTATGAGCAGTAGGTTAAATGTTTTGAAATTAATCTGAATCAGAAAAAGATTACCAAATTTAAAGAGAAATGTAAGATGTTACAAACCCTATTAATTTATTACTTTTGTTGTGTGTATTTAATGTGTTGAATCAGGATATTTTTAATGATTGACCTTTGTTCTTTTACAAAATAACAAAAAAAAATATTTTGAAATTCCTACAGATAAATGGTGGATCACATATAGTGTAAAGCTAATTGTAAATAAACACCCTAAGATTAACTAACTAATTAAGCACACAGTACAAATCTATTCACCTTCTCGAAAGAAACCTTTTTATCTTTCAACACTGTTCTACATTTCAAGCAAAAGGCACAAAGGTTTGGGGTTGTGATGTTTTCTTAGTGTAAAACACTGCAGTAGTGCCACCTGTTAGCAGCTAGTGTCCTGCTGTGAAGAGGGAGATCAGTTTAAATACCAATTTAAAGTTTTTTTTGGTGGATAGACAGGAGAGGGGGGTAGAGAGAGGGGATGACACGCAGCACCCCCCCCCCAAAAAAAAAAAAATTGTCCTTAAGTGGGTTTGAGTAAAAACACATTTTACTGCAGTTTTCTTACGTGGAAATATAATGCAAGGACATTCTCAGTTGTCTTACTCTTGTACAGTTAAATACAAAATCATAACAAACATAACAAGCTAAATCACAAACACAATGTTTGAACATATAGTTTATTGTTTTGAGGAGGAAATGAAACCTGAAATCATACGTTTTGCTGAGAACTGAGCATGCTTGGAGGCCTGGCTGTCATCTCCTCCACATTGTTCCCATTCAGTACGCACTGTTTTCTAACACCATTAAGACTTTTATAAACTCACATCCAACCTTACAGTTTTTGCACTGTGAGCTTTCTGACATGTTTGTACTGAAGACAGAAGGTAAAAAGTTTATTTTTTTCCTCTCATTTTATGTACAAAGGGCAAAGCAACATATTTTGTAAATATATTTTATGTACACATTTGAACTTTAGTATTGATTGATTGTGGATTTTGTTTAGTTGGTACATTTAAAAAAATAAATAATGAAGCTTTATTTATCGGTCTTGTTCCTATTTTTAAAATGTACAGTAATTTTTCTCTCTTCATTAAAAAATGCTGTTTGTCATGTACTGTATATTTTGTGGTTCTTTTGATGGAGGGAGGGAGAACACAGGACGAATACACACAAATGAGTGTTGACTTCTGCAGTGCTGGCTAGCTAACTACATTATCATCTTTAGTAAGTGCAACATACTTCAATGCCCTTGTAGAGGTGAGGAGTATTATGTAACTGGCCAGATGTGGCCAAGGAATTATTGCTGGAAACTAATGTGTTAGAAGCATGAGAAATGGATAAGGATGTGAGCGACTTTGACATGGGCCAAATTGTGATGGCTAGACGTCTGTGTCAGAGCATCTCCAAAATTGTGGGAATGTTGCCGGTCTCCAGTTGTCAGTACCTATTAAAAGCGGTCCAAGAAAGGTAAAACCGGTGAACCGGCAGCAGGGTCATGGGCAGCCAAGGCTTATTGATGCATGTGGGGAGGGAAGGCTGGCCCGTGTGGTCCCATCTAACAGACAAGCTACGGTAGCTCAAATTGCTAGTTCTGATAGAAAGGTTTCAGAACACACAGCTGACTGCAGACCACTCAGGGTGCCCATGCTGATCCCTGTCCACTGCCGAAAGCGCCTACAATGGGCATGTGAGCATCAGAACTGGACCACGGAGCAATGGAAGAAGGTGGCCTGGTCTGATGAATCAAGTTCTCTTTTACATCTTGTGAATGACTGGGTGCATGTCCATAGTTTACCTAGGGAACACATAGCACCAGGATGCACAAAAGGGAAGAAGGTAAGCCGGCGGAGGCAGTGCGATGCTTTGGGCAATGTTTGGCAGGGAAACCTTAAGTCCTGCCATTCATGTGGATGTTACAGAGAATGGAAGCCCAAATCCTTAGGAAAGGTCTCTGTTGATGAGTCTGACATTCATTAAAACGAAAAGGAGGTGATTCTCCCAGCTTAACCCACCCTTAAGCACAAGTGTGTTTCTTTTCACAATATTCAACAGCCACATGAAAACCTGCAAAGACTAAACCAGTAAAAGAGTTTGAGTCCTTTATAAAGTCAAACCAAAAATTGAAATGCTGCTCCTTCAGCTTTCGGCTTCTATTCTCTTCCTGTGTTACTTTCCAGTTTCATGGTCATCACAGAGCTGGTTGAACAGCAAGTTAAGATGTAGATGTAAATTCAGTGTGGGTGTTGGGAAGTAGCCTTATCTTCACATAACACAACATAACTACCTTAGTTTATTTAAAAATGCATATCGTTTCTAATATTAAAAGAGATGGCAGTTTGATATATTCCATAATGTGTATTACCACATTACTTGGCTATTCACAAGCCTAGCTCTTAAAAAAAGACGTCATTATGTAATCATGTATGTTTGTACTACTACCAAAGACTGCCAGTGTAAAATTTGTAAATGAATTGATTGAATGATAACTGTATGCCTTAAGTGTGAAGTGTGCCTGGTGCCTTTCGTTCCAATCACTACCTTTGTTTAAAGTCATCCATGTTGGCTATAATTTCTGATATTATTTCATTTCATCAAAGAAAATGAATTATGAATGAATTAAATTAATTAAAGTGACCTAAGATGAATATTTGTACATTAGTAAGATGCTTGTGATCTACTTAAATCTGTATGGTCAAGCATGCTTAGGTGATATTTCCTGGCAGTCTTACATCATTCATTTTCAAGCTTCTGTCCACAGTGGTGAGACTACCTTAAATTAAGACACTGCAATTAATCTGATTAAGTATTTATTATATTATACATTATCTGACATTAACACAGGACTTTTAAACTCACTGTAATTCAGATTTTTGTGTCTGTATGTATGTGACCAACAGATACTCGATGAAAGCCCACATTTGTGTGTACTTCCGATCACAAGAATTATTTCATTTAAGTAGTCTGGAAAGAGCTTTCACACCAGTAGCAGTGTAGCAAGTCTCTCTACAACTGTGGGTTCCCTCAGTTAATCGACAAATTTATCTAGACCATATTTGCTGCTCTTCGTGGTTTAGAATGAGCATATGGCATATGATCAATATGATTACACCTGGCATCGAAATTGGAAATTGCTCCTGATTGGCCAGGAACTTAATTACCAACCGTTTCCTTCATTTAATTGGTTTAAAGGCAGTGGTCATGCAGCCATGAGATGGTCCAGAAACCAACTGAAAATTTATCTTCAATTCTGTTCAAAAAAGAGGACAGATCACTGATGAGCTGGTCGCGACCAGTGTCTCTAGCGCCCCTAGTGGCAGTAACCACTGGTCCGTGCCAAATGTGTGTGGAACTGAATGCATTTGTGTGTGGAACTGA